GATTTAGGGAATTGGATCTGTGCTCCAGTTCCCCGAATTAAGCCTGAATGCCTTCCACATCCCCCCCCCCCAGGCGCTGTATAATCCTCCGGGTTTAGCGCTTCCCCCTTGATTATAATAATAATAATAATGTGGGAGCAAACAATACCATAAAAAGTGTATCAACATAATTCAGTGGGGGGGGGGGGAGTGGGAAACACAGATGTGCATTCTCTGGTTCTTCCTGTCCCTTCAGTTTTCTTTTTTCTTTCCCACTGTTCTTCCTGTGTGTTGTCCAATTCGAGGAACACATGAATATGAATTTCCTAGTAGGTGTTTCGATTTCAAGATAGTTTCGTGCCATCTATTACAAGCGTCTATTACAAGCGTCAGTTTGTGTTATGTCTCATGCATACCAACCAAGACTAAATTTATCTCCTGGCTCTTCTCAGCCTCTCCGCTTGTGTTAAAAAAAATATATAACTCCCTTTTCTGCAATTCAGATCTCATCATTCATTCTCCCTGTGTATACACATCTGTGTATGCACATGGGAAAGTCTCTCTACACATTCACCGAGAGAGGAATTAAGTTCCATATTAGTGATCATTGTGCCCTGGACAGGTGTTGAGGTGTTCGTCGTGGTATCAACAGTATTTAAACTTAATAGCCAAGTGTGTCCGTGGGAAGTATTAGCAAAGAAAGTGTTCACAAGGGGCCTGTAACAAAGATGTTTTAGGAGCTGATAACGATGTTGATAACGGTATAGCATTCTTAAAGTGTTAATTATAAGTATTGAAAAAAGTGTTCATAACGGGCATTGGTATAAAGTGCTAATAAATATGTTGAAAACAAAAATATTAACACGAACGTTAATAACAAAAGTGTTGATAACAAAAACGTATATAACAAGCGATAACAAGAGCCGAAAGGGAGTGCGTTGAGAACCACAGTTTTGTATGTGTTGAAAACAACACTTGATGAGGAATGTTCAAAAGTGTTCCAAAAAACTCTGATAACAGATATCGAGTGTCGCCGTTACCGCGAGTGTCGTAAACAATGGTTGCGATAAGCGTTAGCAGGAGCGTTGGTAAGTGTTTATAGAGCGAGCGTTAACACAAGTATGATATAAAAGATTTAGTAAGGGTTATTTAACGAAAGTGTTGATAAAAAGTACCTGTAACAAGTGTATCGATAACATCAATTTCTCAGCACCACTTGGGCTCCAGCACCACTTGGGCTCCAGCACCACTTGGGCTCCAGCACCACTTGGGCTCCAGCAACACATGGGCACTAGCACCATTTTCGATCCCATCCTGGGCTCCACAGGTTCCTGGTTACTAGGGTCATCCGGGCGTCTTCTATCGTCAAGGGAAGGCGAGTGTCATCTTTATCAGTGGAAAGACATTGCTTTAATTCAACTTTACCCTGAGTCATTTATATTTCCCAGCTGAACTCTGGTTTAATTAATAAAGATAAATTTGTAATTTGTATTTTTAGGTGCGGGTGAATGACTTGTGTAATGTATGCTGGAGGTGCTTGTTGAAGGTGCGTGCTGAAGGATACAACTGGAGGTTGTTATAGAAGTTGCGTGTAGAAAGGTGTAACTGATGGTGCTTGAAAAAGCCCGCTGAAGCCTTGAAATGCTGATACTTATAAGAACATAACGAAGGAACACTGCAGAAGGCCTACTGGCCCATGCGAGGCAGGTCCAAGTCTCCTACCGGCTTAAGCCAATGCACCCAACCTAGTCAGGTCAGGTCACATTGACTTAAGGGAGGAACACGGCAACCGACCTGGTAGCACAAGCTATCAGGTCCAACTCACACCCACCCACATCCACTCATGTATTTATCCAACCTATTTTTAAAGCTACACAAAGTTCTGGCCTCTAAAACGGTTCTCGGGAGTTTGTTCCCACTCATCCACAAACTCTATTCCCCAAACCATACTTTCCTATATCCTTCCTGAATCTGAATTTTTCCAACTTAAAACCATTGCTGTGAGTCCTGTCTAGGCTAGATATTTTCAGCACACTATTTACATCCCCTTTATTTATTCCTGTCTTCCATTTATACACCTCAATCATATCCCCCCTAATTCTACGTCTTTCTAGAGAGTGCAGATTCAAGGCCTTCAGTCTATCATCATAGGGAAGGTTTCTGATACAATAGAGGGCATATAAAGGCTCAGAGTGAGGTGCAAGTGAGGTACCTGAGCCTTTATATACCCTCTGTGTCTATATACTGTTTGTATCGGCTTGACAAAGCTCCTGGAGAGCGAAACGTTGCCACAATAAAATGTCACATTAGTTGCACTTGTGTCCTTTTACTTTACATATTGTCGGTAATTCTACCAACATTATTACATGCTGATACTTGTAGAAAATGCGGGTTGAACAGTACAACTGGGCATCCTCGCTGAATTAGTCTGTTGAATGGTATAACTAGGAATGCCTCGAAGTGTGCGATAAATGGATATAACTGGGAATGCTTGAAGGTGTAGGTTATGTAAGTATAACAGGAAATGTTTGGAGTTGCTGATTATGAGTTATAATTGGGAATGATTGAATAATGTACAAGTTATAAGGTACAACTGAGAATGATTGGAGGTGTAGATTATGAGTTGTAACTGGGAATGTGTTTTTTTTTTTTGATTAAAGGTGGAGATTATAAGGTGTAACAGGAAGTGCTTGCTGAAGGTGCAGGAGCATGATTAGTATTTATCTTGCAGATAAGTGAGAAGTGACAACTATTATGGGAGAGTTAGCCTATCATTAGTAAGGTAAATTCCTTGATGTTGAGGTTCTCTTGGTCCAAGAAATACGTACTGACCTTCGCTTCTTTGGATCGATCCTGATTGCCACTCATTACCCCAGGCAGTGTTAGACCCCCTACGAGTTTAGCGCTATTTCTCTCCACATCCTCAATATAATATTACGAGAGTAAAATAAGTTATGTCTCTGAAAGTTTGGTTACCAGATCTGGGGAAGGAGAACGAAAGAGTTCTTTATAATTAAATGTTTAGACCTGGATATTTCCACAGAAAAGTCCGTGAGGGGCGGACGAGCCCGTGAGGGACATAAGAGTCCTTGAGATAGGAGTTTACTCTCCACTGTTTTCCTAAGAACATAAGAAAGAAGGAACACTGCAACAGGTCTACTGACTCATGCGGAGCAGGTCCATGTGATGGAGCTTTATATAGCGCCAAGAGGTGAGACGTAGGTCACTAGAAGAGGTAAGAACTCAGATGTTGAGAGGTCAGGTCCCTCTCAAATCCAGCCGCTCTCACTAGTGGAAGTTGTCGAAGTTGATTGCAGGTCTGTACCAAGATACCCTTGTGTTGCAGTGTCTGACAGATTGAACATTAAAATGGTCCTGTCACTTCATCTCCATATTGTTTCATACTATGGAACAATGCTCTTCTCCAGACTGAGGGACTGACCACCTCAAAACTTTAAGGGTGATGGACTGATTACATCGTCTTCAAGTATCTTCTGCTTCTATCAACTTTTCTGTACTCGACTGAAGAAGCCTACTGTGTAGGCGAAACGTTTTATAATAAAAGATACCTAACTGTTGCATATGTGTCTTACCTAACAACCTGTCGGTTTTTTATACCATTTTAATGTTCAATCTGTCAGACACTGCAACACAAGGGTATCTTGGTACAGACCTGCAATCAACTTCGACAACTTCCACTAGTGAGAGCGGCTGGATTTGAGAGGGACCTGACCTCTCAACATCTGAGTTCTTACCTCTTCTAGTGACCTACGTCTCACCTCTTGGCGCTATATAAAGCTCCATCCTGTCACTTCATCTCCAGGTCCATGTGAACTCTCCCCCCCCCCCGATTAGCCCAATGACCCCCCCCCCGGATTAGGCCAATGACCCACCCAGTCTGGCCACCTCCACTCAAGGAAGGAGCACGGCACCAGACCCAGCAGCACAAGCAAGGAGTCTGTAGGAGCAAACAATGCCATAAATAAAAAATGTATCATCATAATGCATTGGGATGGGGAGGGAGGCTATTGACATGTGTGAGGGAGCTTGGGTAACACAGTTGTGCATTCTCTGGGTCTTCCTGTCCCTTCCGGTTTCTTTTTTTTTATTCTTTCCCACTACTTTTCCTTTCTGTGTTGTCCAATTCGAGGAGTACATGAATATAACTCTCGTAGTAGGTGTTTCTATTTTAAGATCCACTTTCGTAACATCTGTTACCAGCGTCAGTTTGACTGTTATGTCCCATTCATACCAAGATTAAATTTATCTCCTGGTGTACCTCAGCCTCACCACTTCTGTTAAATAACTACGCAAAACTCCATTTTCTGCCATTCAGATCTCATTTTTTCCTCCCTGTGTATACACACGGGAAAGTCTCTCGTTACACATTCACCGAGAGATTAATTTAGTTCCATACTAGTGATCATTGTGTCCTAGACAGGTGTTGAACTAGCTACATGCGGCCTTAATGGCCGTCGTGTAGTGGACTGTTTATGAACTTAATCGCAAGTGTCCGTAGGAAGCGTTAGCAAAGAAAGTGCTCACAGTGTGCCTGTAACAAAGTTGTTTTAGGAGTTTATAACGATGTTGACAACATTATAACGTTCTTCAGGTGTTGATTTTAAGTTTTGATAAGTGTTCATAGCGAGTGTTGGTATTAAGTTCTAATAAAAATGTTGAAAACAAAAATATTAACACGAGCGTTAATAGCAAAAGTGTTCATATCAGAAACGTAAATACCAAGTGATAAGAGCCGAGAGCGAGTGTTGAGAAGCACAATGTTGATAAGTGTTGAAAACAGTAAGAAATGTTGATAGTTGACAAATGACGTAAAATTCTTAAATAACACGTACCGCGATTGTCGCCGTTACCGCGAGTGTCGTAAACACTAGTTATCATAAGTCCTGGCAGTAGTGTTGCCAGAGGGAGCGTTAAACACTGTGATATAAAAAATTTGGTAAGAGTTATTTAACAGAAGTGCTGATAAAAAGTACCGATAACAATTGTATACATTTCTCAGCAGCACTTGGGCTCCAGCAGCACTTGCTCCCCACCACCATTTTGGGTCCCAGCTCATCATGGCCTCCACAGGTTCCTGGTTACTAGCGTCATCCGGGCGTCATCTACCCTCAAGGGAAGGTAAGTGTCATGTTTATCATTGGAAAGACGTTACTTTAATTCAACTTTACCCTGAGAGTTATTTATATTTCCCAGCTGAACTCTGGTTTAATTATCAAAAGAAATTTGAAATTTGTATTTTGCGGATAGTTGTGTATGCTGGAGGTGCTTGTTGAAGGTGTGTGCTGAAGGATGCAGCTGGATGTACTTGTTGAAGGTGCTTGCTCAAGGATACAACTCTAGGTTCTTATAGAAGTTGCGTGTAGAAAGGTGTAACTGATGGTGCTTGAAAAAGCCCGCTGAAGCCTTGAAATGCTGATACTTGTAGAAAATGCGGGTTGAACAGTACAACTGGGCATCCTCGCTGAATTAGTCTGTTGAATGGTATAACTAGGAATGCCTCGAAGTGTGCGATAAATGGATATAACTGGGAATGCTTGAAGGTGTAGGTTATGTAGGTATAACAGGAAATGTTTGGAGTTGCTGATTATGAGTTATACTTGGGAATGACTGAAAAATGTGCAAGTTATAAATACAACTGAGGATGATTGAAGGTGGAGGTTATAAGGTGTAACAGGAAGTGCTTGCTGAAGGTGCAGGTTGAATGGAATACCTGGGGCATGATTAGTGCTCTAATAAGCACTTTTTACCTTGCAGGTAAGTGAGAAGTGACAACTATTATGGGAGAGTTGGCCTACCATTAGTAAAGTAAATTCCCACTTCATACCAGTTGTCTCTGAAATAGCGTTCCACAGCTAACTAGTATATCGTTACATGTACAACATCTATGAATATTCGCTATGCGGATTAAAAGGAATCTCCTGTCTCCTGGACAGGTGTTGAATTAGTAATATGCGGCCTTAATTACGTTCATGTAGTAGACAGTATTTAAACTTAATCACAGTTTAGGCTTGTACTTAAAAGATTGATGAGGCAAGTGATAACTAGGAAAGTGTTCACAGAGTGCCTATAACAGTCGTTTTAGGAGCTTGTAACGATGTTGATAGTGTGATAGCGTTCTTCAAGCGCTGATTATAAGTATTATCTTGATAAGAGAAGTGTCGCTGCGCAAAGTGTCGCTGCACAAAGTGTCGCTGCGCAAAGTGTCGCTGCGCAAAGTGCCGCTGCGCAAAGTGCCGCTCCAAAAAGTGCCGCTCCAAAAAGTGCCGCTCCAAAAAGTGCCGCTCCAAAAAGTGCCGCTCCAAAAAGTGCCGATGAGATACGTGGATAACAAGTAAAAACAAGAGCAGAGAGCGTGTGTTGAGAACCATGAGTGTTGAAAACATCACTTGTGAAGAAATGTTGATAGTTGACAATTGCTGCGAAAAACGATTATAACGCGTATCGTGACTACTCGTTACCGCGAGTGTCGTAAACACTGGTTATGGTAAGTGCTCTCAGGAACGTTGGTAAGAGCGTTGATAGAGCGAGCGTTAAACACAAGTGTGATATAAAAGATTTGGAAAGAGTTATTTACCGAAAGTGTTGATAAAAAGTACCGATAACAAGTGTATCGATAACAGCATCTATTTCTCAGCACCACCTGGAATCCCAGCTCTTCCTGGCTCCACAGGGTCTTAGTTACTCGCGTCATCTGGGCGTCATCTACCGTCAAGGGAAGGTGAGTATCATGTTTAACAGTGGAAAGACATTATTTAAATTCAACTTTACCCTGAGAGTTATTTATATTTCCCAGCTGAACTGTGCTTTAATTAGTCAAGAAATTTACAAATTGTATTTTGAGGATAGTTGTAGATGTAGGTGAATGACTTGTGTAAGTTGTGCTGGAGATGCTTGTTGAAGGTGTGTGCTGAAGGATACAACTGGACGTGCTTGTTGAAGGTGTGTGCTGAAGGTTACAACTGGACGTGCTTGTTGAAGGTGTGTGCTGAAGGATAACAACTGGACGTGCTTGTTGGTGTGTGCTGAAGGATACAACTGGACGTGCTTGTTGAAGGTATGTGCTGAAGGATACAACTGGACGTGCTTGTTGAAGGTGTGTGCTGAAGGATACAACTGGACGTGCTTGTTGAAGGTGTGTGCTGAAGGATACAACTGGACGTGCTTGTTGAAGGTGTGTGCTGAAGGATACAACTGGACGTGCTTGTTGAAGGTGTGTGCTGAAGGATACAACTGGACGTGCTTGTTGAAGGTGTGTGCTGAAGGATACAACTGGACGTGCTTGTTGAAGGTGTGCGCTGAAGGATACAACTGGACGTGCTTGTTGAAGGTGTGCGCTGAAGGATACAACTGGACGTGCTTATAGAAGATGCGTGTAGAAAGGTGTAACTGAGGGTGTTAGAAAAAGCTCTCTGAAGCCTTGAAATACTGATACTTGTAGAAAATTCGCGTTGAACAGTACAACTGGGCATCCTTGCTGACTTACTGTTGAATGGTATAACTAGGAATGCCTGCAGATGTCAGACCATAGCTGACATCAATAACATATTACTCTATAGAAAGTTCCAGTTATGCTGAGCATTTCAGGCAAATTAGGTCAGTTTTGTCCCAGGATGCGACCCACACCAGTCGACTAACTACCAGGTACCCCATTTTAAACTGATGGGTGAACAGGGACAGTAGGTGTCTTATGGGAACATGTCCCTAATGTTCACAGCCGTACCGGAGGCGATTCGAACCCCCGTACCTCTGTGAGCTGAGTGCACTAGCGATCGAGCTACGGGACACCAGGTATAACAGGAAAAGTTTTGAAAACCGACAAGTTGAAGAATTGAGGCACTTATGCAACACATGGGAATCTTTATTGAAGAAACGTTTCGCCACACAGTGGCTTCATCAGTCCAATACAAAGTAGAAGTGGGTAAGGAGAGTAGAAGTTTGAGGTAATCAGTCCCTCAACCTGGAATCGATGTGTTCAGTCCATCACTACTTACACTAGTGGCAGGTCCCACTGTAATCCCGCCTCCTCCTGCTTCAACTCATCTCACCGCAGTATATAAGCCACCTCTCTGGCCCTATGCTGCACTTCCTACAAGAGTGATGGACTGAACACATCGATTCCAGGTTGAGGGACTGATTACCTCAAACTTCTACTCTCCTTACCCACTTCTACTTTGTATTGGACTGATGAAGCCACTGTGTGGCGAAACGTTTCTTCAATAAAGATTCCCATGTGTTGCATAAGTGTCTCAATTCTTCATAACAGGAAAAGCTTGAAGTTGCTGATTATGCGGTATAACTGGGAATGATTGACGAAGGTGGAGGTTATAAGGTATAACCGGAAGTGCTTGCTGAAGGTGCAGGTTGAATGGAATACCTAGGCCATGATTAGTGTTCTAATAAGTCCTATTTACCTTGCAGGTAAGTGAGAAGTGACAACTATTATGGGAGAGTTGGCCCACCATTGCTAAGGTAAGTTCCCACTTTATACCAGTCGTCTCGTAAATCGCGTTCCACTGCTAACTAGAATATCTTAACATGTACAACATCTATGAATATTCGCTATGATGATTAAAACGAATAGTTGCAAATCTATATACAAAAGCATGACATATTCCTTCTAGTGTTATGGTCTACTGCAGGGCTACTAAATTGGCGGCTCGCGGTCCGAATCCGGACCTTCCGAGTGTTGTAGCTGAACCGCGGGCTTCAGGAGTAAGCTTAGATAAATAACAGCTATTACCACGTTCAGGATCAGGTGATGCACAAGAGCGGGATTAATACGTTATTCTATCTGAATGGAATACATTCACTGAATGGAATACAGTATTCTAGCATAGCTAAATAGTGATATTTTCTTCCATTCAATGGTAATTCATATTGGTAATTATCACATGTGCAGTGAAGATGACTCTTTTTTTTTGGCTTTTTCGAAAGAGTTTGGCGCACATGTGCTGCTAAGTCTGGCCACTCTGGTGCAGCTTTGAATTTCGGTAAAAAGTGTGCATTTGTGTTTGTGTAAGGTACGATTTCCGGTTTTCTCAAATTCTTTTTAGCAAGTTTGACTTTAATTTGCTGTGTCCACCTGTTTTACGAATAATTACGTTGGTGAGCCATTTAGTATTGAATCATTGCGATCAAATTCTTCACAATAATGTTTAATCAAATTGGTTAAAAATTTTCATCATTTTGGTTATTCCTAATTTATGGAAAGGATATAAATTGACTGATATTTTCAAATTTATTGTGCTATTTTTTTTAGTCTAAGTATGTCTAGTTTTTGTTTTGTTTTTAATGCTTCAGATATTTCCGTATCAAATGATTTGTTTTGCTAAACTAGTCATATCTTTTGAAAGGAGACATGACATGTTCAAAAAGAAGAAAGTTTGACGATGACAATAGTTCCATCATGGAAGAATGGATACAGTAGTTATATTTTCAATCTTCCCGCAAGCACTTCTAACACCCTTTGCCTCATACGTAGTGAAGACCAGTAGTAATAAACGCTATTATTTTTTTTTGTTTACATAATGAAACTTGTAATAAATGTATCTGGACCTTTGCATACATTGGTACTTGTCCAAGTGAACCTTTGCTCATAGTTGAGTGGCCCTGAAATATGGGTTTCGTAAGGGCCGTTCTACTACCAATTCCTTACTCTTCTTAGATGCGTATATTCGTAATGCCTTTGCTATAACCACTCAGTCATCATTTTTCTTTATCTTGAGAAAGCATGTAACGCAACTTGGAGATATAACATCTTGGCCCAAGTTAACTCCTTAGGCCTCAGAGACAATCTGCCATTTTTCCTCAAAAACTTGGACTTTGTCCAAGCTGAAGGTGTCCCTCAGGGATGTATCCTTAGCACCACACTTTTTCTACTTGTTATATATGATCTAGCAACTGTTCTTCCATCTAATATTTAGTCATCACACTATGCTGATGACCTTGCTGTAGTTTGTGCAGGTGCTGACTGTCGTCTCATTGCAGTTTCTCTCCAGAATGCTGTCACCGTGTTTCCTGCTGGGCCACTACTCATGGGTTTAAATTTTCTAGTACTAAAACTCCCCAAATTCCTTTCACTAGACGTTCTAACGTCCCTGATAATCCATTGTACCTCTATGGCTCACGAATCCCTGAACGTGATACGGTCAGGGTTCTCGGCCTTCTATTTGACCGTCGGTTACCCTGGAAACCTCCCGTTACTACTTTGAGGGCAACTTGTCATAGCCGGCTGACCCTCCTTAAACCTTTACTCATCTTTCTTGGGATGGGGGAGGGGGAGGGGACTGATCGTCTAACTCTCCTTCGACTGCATTCATCCCTAATTTGATGGAAACTAGATTATGGCGACCAGATATATTCAGCGGCCTCTCCTGCAACTCTTTCTAAACTTGATCCTATCCTTCACCAAGGATTACTTTTATGTCTCGGTGCTTTTCGCTCTTCACCTGTTGAGAACCTATATGCAGAGACGAATATTCCATCCTTGAACGATCGCTGGGATGCTCATTGCCTCCGCTATTTTGTTCGTTCTCATGACCTGCGTAGTCCTTCATATATAGGAGAGTTACGGACGATGGTAGAGGTCTATTGTTTGTTCGTCACCCCTGTTTACTCCATCACTTTTCTCTTCGTCTGCATTCGTTCTTGTTTTCTCTTCACTTACCCCTTTTATATGTCCGTGTAGCATCTAACTTTTCCCTTCCTCCTTGGGAGGTTCTGACAGTTCGTGCCCAAATACCTACAGTTACTTCTTTCTCTTTTCTTAATCACTCTCGGTCTCATTCCGTCGCAGTGTACACTGATGGTTGTAAATCCTCTGACGGTGTCGGATTTGCAGAATTGTTTCCTTACAGCATAGTGCGAGGGCGTTTATTAGACTCGGCTAGCATTTTTACAGCTGAATTGTATGTAGTTCTCGTAGCAATTATCCGTACTGAATCTATGCCTGTGTCGCCATTTGTGGCAGTCTCGGACTCCTTTAGTGCTTTGCTAGTTCTACAAAAATTTTTATTCGCCTCATCCTCTGGTTCTTCGTACACAACTTTGGTTACACCGCATCTCTAGAAAAAACAGTTGTTTTCTGTTGGGTTTGCTGTCATTTTGAACGCAAGCCCAACTAACACACTGTTGTGCGGTCAGCCGTACATGACCTCCCAGTTTCATAGGTGTTCCATTCACTGACTATTTTACTTATTTCTCACCACCTTCGTAACCGTTGGCAACAACGTTTATCTGATATGATAAATAACAAATTACTTTCTATCAAACCCAAGTTTAGGTTTCTGGCCAACTTGCTGCCATCGATGCTGAGGCTGGGAGACTACTGTGGCCCGGTGGTCTGGTGGCTAAAGCTCCCGCTTCACACACGGAGGGCCCGGGTTCGATTCCCGGCGGGTGGAAATTCCGACACGTTTCCTTACACCTATTGTCCTGTTCACTTAGCAGCAAATAGGTACCTGGGTGTTAGTCGACTAGTGTGGGTCGCATCCTGGGGGACAAGATTAAGGACCCCAATGGAAATAAGTTAGTCCTCGATGACGCACTGACTTTCTTGGGTTATCCTGGGTGGCTAACCCTCCGGGGTTAAAAATCCGAACGAAATCTTATCTTATCTCTTACTGTCTCCTGTCTTTGCATCGGCCACACTCGTCTACTCACGGGTATCTCGTGGAAAGGAGTCCTGTTCCACTCTGTGAGAATTGTAAGGTTCCAGTTTCGGTTAGTCATAATCTGTTGGACTGTCCGGTCTATCAACGAGCACGCAGAATTAACCTCCGACGTCGTCACTGCTCTACTGCCCTTACTTTACCTTCCCTTCTTGTTGATGGACCCTCCGTCGACTCAGACTCCTTCACTGACTTTTTGACAGCAACTAATTTACTGCACAAACTTTGATTCTTCCTCTAACACTCCTCTCAGCCCTTTCTAACTCTCCCAATGTTGTCCACTCCATCCTTGTTACTGTGTAATCCTGCACTGTCTGTGCCCTGCGGCGCTGTATGGCCCTTGTAGGTTTAGTGCTTCTTTGATTATAATACACGCCTCCCCCGTTCAGGTAAATAAATCTTCTTAGTAAAAGTTACAATAATTACTAGCTTAAGAATAATATAACAAATATCTGAACTGCTTTTTCCATTCCTCACCTAACAGCAAATAGGTACCTGGGTGTTAGTCGACTGGTGTGGGTCGCATCCTGGGGGACAAGATTAAGGACCCCAATGGAAATAAGTTAGACAGTCCTCGATGACGCACTGACTTTCTTGGGTTATCCTGGGTGGCTAACTCTCCGGGGTTAAAAATCCGAACGAAATCTTATCTTAGCTAGTACAGATTGTTAGGTAAGACACATATGCAACAGTTAGGTATCTTTATTAACTGTTGCATATGTGTCTTACCTAACAACCTGTCGGTATTTTATACCATTTTAATGTTCAGCTAGTACAGATGTTGGAGAGGAGTCTCCTCCTTCCTCTACTGGGGAAAGTAGATGGAATCCAGGACGGGGTGGCCCTGGCTTGGATACTGAGGATTATAGTGCAGTCCCAGAACCTGCAGAAATTGACAACACACCTCCCAACAATTCTCAACCAAAGGTGAATTTGTGCAAATATTATGCTTGGGGCATCTGTAAGCATGGAATAACGGGAAAAAAATGGGA